TGGCTGATGTTGTTGAAGATCCGAGAGGCAGCCCGCGGCTACACCAAACCAGCTTAATGGACTTTGCCATAAAGGTGGTCGGCATAGGTTGGGTATATCCATGTTGATGGGCTTGCTTGTTGAATGTACAGTACCTCTAGCGTTGGAGGTGAGGTAAGGGAGGTCGTTGAATGAGGGCTCTGTACCTGGTTAGTGGATAAGGTAAGGCAAGGCAGGCTAGGACGGCCCCCAGAGCTCAAAGCACGCACTTTTGGGTAGCTCAAGATGAAGAGCGGCCATCTGACACGTCAATCGACCAAATCGCATCTTGAGGAAACCGGACTGGGCTTCAGCTGACGTAACTGCTGGGCCCGAAGCTGCCAGTAGCCGGCCAGCCGCTGGACTAGATCCGTCCAACAAGATGGGGAAAGCCAGAGACTTAATTACCGACACGATGACAAGCCGGTTGTTCGGGGGTGCATCACGCAGGCGGCAGGCGTCATGGTCGTTCATAGGGTACAGAAACCGTGCTGCCAGGCCGTGCAAGTCGCTATGATTGCAGTGTAAAGGCCGTAAAGACGAACTGCAATGTTAGGAAAAGGGGTTATCTGCAGGCTCGCGAAAGAGACATTTGACGTGCCACAAGAACCGTAACCGGGCTTGCAGGGGTCAAAATTCCGGTCCACCTGAGAGCACCGGGGTTGAAAGTGGTGGTGAGAAGAAGCTCTCGGCCGTGGCCTTGTGGTTTGCTCCGGAATATGGCGAGAAATAGGAGACGCAGGGGGGTTAATTGACGTCTGTCCAGCTGGAGTAATGTTTGCCCATGATGTCGACGGGTTTGGGTGCTCAGTCGAAAGCGTTCAATATGTGGTGTCGACTTGAGGCCGTAAAAGTAGTCGAAGGCGTTTGGGAAACGGATATATAAAACCCCGGAGTCGATGAGCGTTGGAAAGGTTTGTGAACCTGCTTTGCGAAGTCATGCTCCAACCGCCAGGGCTGCGTAGCTCGGGGTGGTGTATTGGAAGAAGAACGGGACGCTCTGGGTTGCGTATGTATCCGCGGAGTGTGTGATGTTGTCTGTGCTGGCCGTTGAAGGCAGGCATGTGGTGTCTCGACTCTTACGCCCCCCCCTTGTTCGCGCATCCGTATCCGCATGTATGTTCTGGTGCTCTGCCACGCCTGGCCAGCCTTGAGGTGTTGCATTCTGGAGATTTGGACAATTTCAATTGGGTTCCCGAATATGTCTTCGTTGCAGGTGCAGCCATGCAGTGTGAGCGCGGCGGCAGCGGCAACGGTAGCGGATGGAAGGAACAGGAAGCAGGGTGTGTTCCTACCGTCGCTTCCTGATTACCTCAGGTGCCTGGGTACAGAGTGTGCACGTATGACTAAGCCTTAGGGGGCAGCTGAGAGAGCGAAAAAAAGATGCCCACGCCTTCCACGAGTGTTCTCACTGAAAGATCAGCGTAAGGTACAGATTCAAATGCGTGGATACGGATACCTGCGTTACCTCTTTGCCATCCACCTCAGAAATCGAGCTCCAGCTCCATCTCCAGCGTCAGCGTCAGCGTGTTCGTTGGCTTGAGGTTTAAGTGGTTGACCGGGGTGCTCCCCACGTATCGGTCCACATACGGCCCATTCATTATTTCGGGTCGTCGAGATGTTGGGCGGTCCCCGAAGCCAAGTGGAGTTGGGGTTAAAGACGGTTGTATTCGTACCTGGCTCTGGGCGTTCTGGTGTTTCCGTTTCTGCCAGCACAGGGTTCCGAGAAATCCAAACGACCAGACAATGGGAAATGGTGCAAGGGATAAGGGACGACGTTGGAGACTTGGAGTCGGACGCGGATGGGAATGCCCGAGAAGAAAGAGAGGACGCGGGCGGGAAACTCAAGACACAGAGAGGTACCGACACAGTACGGAGGAGAGTCGAAACGGCGCTAAGGCACGGATGGAGATTTTGATGGAGAACCATATTGCGAGAGGAAGGTACAGACCACTGTAACCGTCATTTTGCTGTCCTTTTTTTTTTGTGTCTCTTGTCTTTGAAGCGGTGTCTCTGCCTTGCGGAAGTATTTTTTATCTTATTTTTCATTAGTAACTTCCCCCCTTGAGATGAAGCATGTTTGTCTCTGTCAGATGGACTCTGTCGGAGGCATGAATCTGAGATTCGATCAAGGGGGCAGGCGAATAGACAATTACCTTACACACAGCGATAGCCATCATCTCAATCTCACGGCGCTTCTTAATCTCCAGTGGATCGGCTGTCGACATGAAGTCAATCCTTGTTCGCGTAAGAACTCTGCTGATGGATCTCTCACAGAGATTATGTTCAACTGATTGCGTCTTTCCCACGCGATATTCAAATCCTAATTATCCCCGAGGCTGCTGCGCTGCTGCTTTTGCTGCAGGCGGCGGACGGCGTCTGGGCTGGCCACAGGCGGGAATCGAATCTCGTTCATTGGAGCGGACAGGGAGCAAGGTCCAACGTCAAAGGTCACTGACCAGACAGAGGAGCACCTCCACAAGCTTCCTCGGCCTTTTTTCTGACGACACGCCCCCTACCCCCCTGCTCCTTGCTCCCTCACTTCCATCTCCGCCGAGCTCCGTTGTCGCGGTGTTCTGCAAAGCTGGTAAAGGTCCTGACACTTGGAGATGGGATATCAGATGAAAAAGACGGCAAGATGGTGATTATCCAAGGGCGTTACCACCTCCAAAAGGCGAAATGCAAGTTGATTATGCTGGGCAGTAAGACTGCTAGACGCAATTCACCCGTTCTTCGTTCTTCTGCAGTCTGCGGCAGCTCTGTACGTGCCGTCCATGTGTCTCGTCTCATATCGTCTCGCCTGGGCCATGTTCGCGACAGTCTCCCTCGCTGCGTGTTGGGAGTCCGCGAGTAATCACCAGACACTGCAAAATTCCTAGGCACGGAGCGATAGGGAGTCCATACAGCTAGCTGACTGACGCCCGGAGAGCAATCCGGGGCAGGCAACGGCCATTTCACGGTCCCGTCCTTGCCTCGAGTGCCGCCCCGTCTTCCGGTTGTTTGGGTGCATCAATATCACGATGTCGACGGGTGAGAAGGACATGGATCTTGAATAAGTAAAGTACTTTACCGCGGCTGCAAGTCTTCGTCATGTACCTAGCTGTTGAAGGAGATGCAGAAACTTCGGGAGGGAAAGAAGAAAGAAAGAACAAAAGAAAGAGCTTCTTCCCATGAATACCTGACTGCATATCCGTACCATAGTACACTTGGAGGCAAGTGGACGAGGTATCGTGCCTTCCTCCCGTTCGGCCACCCCCACCCCGTCCTTCCTTCCCAGAAACGCCAGCTCCTAGCGTGCCGTTCAAGTCGTTCCTACCTTACCCCCCGGTCCCAAATTCCACGTCCCAAGGTGTTCCTTCCAGTCAGGTCGGTCCCAGGCCGCTCTTTCCCGCAACTATTTCGTTACACACCCCTTCCACCCTCCCTCCCTCTTCCCCTTCCCCATCCACATCCAACACCATCACGTCCCTTCCCTTGGACTTCGATTTCGACTTCCACTTCCACCCTGGAATCCAAGTAGCGACGTGTATCCGTACTGCGTGTTGGCGTCCACTGTGAATGCAAGGCAAAGTGTCCCATTTGGAGTGTGTGGTGTCGCCCTGTCGTTCTGCCCCAGTGTTCTTTCCCTCGCTCGCTGTGCTGGTGTTCCTCGCCTTCCCAGTTGGCGACTTCCTGCCCCCTAACCACTCGTTCCTGCCTTACGAGTGAGTTACTGCTCGTACGGTGTACCTACCTTCCTGATGTTGCTGGTATTTTCCTCCACTCTTCCTTCCTTGGCTGGAGTCCTGTTGCTGCGCTGCTGCCAAACGAAGTCCAATTGAAGCGCAAGCCTGCTCCGTTCAACGCAGCAGCGATTGCCCTTTCTGTCACACGTGTTGGCTGACCATCCGTACCTTCCACCTACTGCGTACAGTACCTCATGTACCTGAGGTGTAAGGTGTGAGAGTGAGAGGTGTGTGCCTTCCTTCGCTTTCCCACTCTTTTCCCTGACCTCTCGCCTTTTTTTATTCCTTAATTTTCTAGTTTTCCTGCCACCCGGGATCAGTTGCACTAACGGACAAAAAAGTCATCATCATCATCTTCTTCATTCTCTTTGTAAACTTCTCCCTGCCTTGCCTTGCGCTTTTGCTTTCTGCTGCTTCTGCGAATCTTCCCTCCCAAGACACCCTGGAAACAACCCAAAAGAGTGACCATCCCATCCCGGCCAAGCTCCTTTGCTGCTCCAGCCTGCCCACCTACACCTACATCACCTTAGGTACCCGGCCGCACCGCACCGCATCGCCCGCACCGTCTCCCATTAGGCACAGATCCGACTCGACCCGCCAGTTCGCCGCCGTGTCGCTTTTCTCCCACTCTCGACTCGACTCGCCTCGCCTCGCCGCTGATTTCCCCCCCAAAAACGCACACGTCGTCGTCGCCGCCACCATCCGTCGTTGACCAAGTTTCCGTCAATTCTCCCTCTTTCACTCACTTCGAAGATCCTTTCGCACATCCGAGCCAAACATACACGCTCACCTCTTTTGCTTTTGCAACATCCAACATCGCCGGCCGTTGACTCGGGAGTCTTTGCGCAAAGACACCTGGAAACAACACCGTCCCTCTTTTTTTCCCCGTTTTGGTTTTGGTGAGTGGTTTCCCTGTCTGTTCGTTGCGACCCCCCGGCGCAAAAAAAGCCGCGAGACATTTAAGCGCGGCGCCGCCCATACCCAAAAAATTTATTTTCCCTGTCCCTCCCCGTTGGCCTCTCCCCTGACACCACGGCGCCTTCCACCCATCCATTCGCGACACCGTTCTTCCAAGGCTACCCATCCGCGCCTTCGGCCTCGAACGTCGCTTTGAGTACATCTCAACTAATACGATCTCCAAGATCAAAGACATCGACGACCCAGGTTTTATCTCCTGTCTCCGAGTCCTAAATTCCCTCAAGGCAACCACACCGTCGGTCTTCCGGTCTCACCTCCCATTGAACCATCGACTTCGCCATGTCCTACTACGAGAACAACCCTCAATGGTCCAATCCCGGCCCGAACAATTGGGAACACCAGGCGCCTCCTGTTCGTGCTGGTGAGTCGTCCCAGCCGTCGCAGCGCCAACTTCAACAACCCGAAGCCGGAATTGACTCGAGGTTCCCGTCAACAGGTGCCAGCGGCCCCACGCCTCAGGACGACTTCGCATTCTTCTACCAGTTCGAGGGTAGGTCTACTGTTCCCTCCAGCGCGTGACGGGCGGCCGGTTCGGTGCGGGTGATTTTGTCCACTCGTGCCCGCCGGTCGTCGCGCGCAGGAAGGACCCTGCTGACGAGATGATACTCTAGATGTGGTGCGGACACTGACTGCCAGGCCTACAGAGGTTGATCGTGCATACGAGAATCTCGCCAAGAGCGGGAAGTCATACGGAATGGGCGGTCGACGTGAGTACCCAACCCCTGGCGGCCCCAAGATGGGCCCTGCCGGTCCTGGTCCCGCCAGAAAGTCCCTCGACTTCAGTAAGTCTGCTCGCAACTGGCGGGCAAATCCGCGGCCTTCCCCTGCTAACCCTCACCTCGCAGCCGGACGCATGGGAGCTGGAGCCGGTCCGCGACCGCACTCGATGAACCAGTTCGATGATGCCCGAGGCCACCCGAACTCGAACCTCCAAAACTTTTACGCCTCCCAGCGCCACCAGTCCTCCCGGGGATCCAACGACGCGGAACAGATGATGCAGGCCAAGAGAAGGATGGCCGCTCAACGGGAGCGGGAGCTGCGAAACCTCCACACTGAGCAGCAATACCAGCGAAGTAGGCCGCCCTCTACTGTATAGCACGCATACTCCATCGTCCAAGGGGAGACTGCAATGAAGAAAAATAGATAATTCAGGCCGAGGGGTTTCACCATCATGCAACATCCTGCTGCCCCGTCATGTTACTGTCGAGATGTCTCCCTGAAAGACCGTCCACCCCCCTTCACGTAAGACTTGGGCACTTCAGAGGATGTTAGGCTAACCAGCATGTGTGAGCAGCTCTCGTTTCTGACATCCCCTACGGCAACAAGGCCATGTCTGAGGAGGAGACTCGCGAGCTGATTGCTCGGCAGCGGAGCGCCTTGTACGGCGAGGGCCAGTTTGCCGAGAAGGCTGGCTATGTGGACGAGACTGGTGCCGTGCGCCCTGGCGTCCCGGGACACAGTGGTCCCTCCAGCATCCGTGGCCAGTCTCCCTTGACCTACGATGTCACCCGCGGACCGCCTCCTCACGGCGATGCCAACACGCCCGTTTCTGCCACCGACGGTCCCGGCCCCATCGCCGGCCCTCCCGGTGAGCAGGGCTCTCGCGCAGGCAGCACCGCCAGCCCCCAGCCGAACGTCTCGAACAGCAATAAGAGTGCCTTCGAGTCGGCCGTGAATCAGGCTGCGGCCCGCACCAACAACTCCTCGCCGGGTGGTTCTCCGCCGCGCCAGGAGCTTCCGGGATCTAAGCAAACCGTTGCTCCCATCGGCACTCGGCCGTCCGGTACCCCGACTGGTGCTTCCAACTCCAAGCGGTCGACCACTCCCCTCGCCTCCCCCGGTGGCTGGGGTCGTGGCAACGGTGTCTGGGGCCCTCAGTCGTCCGGATTGAGCCAGCCTCCTGCTAGCGTCTGGGGCTAGATCTCAACTCCCGATCTGACGACCGCCCTTCGAGATTGCGACACGACGCAGTAACAGATTGAACGAGGGGCTCGATGAATGAACCGTTTGCGTGGGTGGTTTCTTAGTTTGGTTTCGGTCTCGAATGATTTCCTCGGGCACGGAAAACTTGATATATACCTCGGGCGACACGGTATTCGGAGTGAGGGTGTCTTTTTGGCATCTATTGAGGAGTTTTCTTTTTTTACACCATCAGAAGGGACCGCATTCGCAACCACGGAGTCGAACAGTATTGCTAAGGGGAAAAAGATGCATGTCATACGGGCGTGGAAAGGGGTTTACTGCTGCTTCGGGGTTTACCACAAGCTCGGGCGGGAATCACAGCGTTCGGGAATGTTTCGGATGATCTGGGAATTCTGGCGACGGCGAGCACGGAGCGGGACGACGTTTTTTTGTTCTTGGGAAAGTTGTCCTTCGGGGCTGGGCATGGGATGAATTCGGGTGCCAAAAAGCGTCGGAGGGCAACCTATGATTCGAATCGCGAGCATACATTGGCGTGGGCGTGGATTCCGATACTGGTTTGACTCGAAGGGGTTGGGACTGGGAACGCACATCCGGGGAGTTGACACAGCACACAACGACGACTCTCTCTTCACACGGCGACAAAATCACAAAAAACAGGGGTTTGGGATCAGGGGTGTTTACCGGTTGTGTTTCTTTGGGGGGATGTTTCCTACTTTTCTTCTTGCTTGGGGATCTTCAACAGAGGTCGGTCGTGGGAGTTTTCTGTCTTTTCCAGCACTCGGTACGGTTTCCAGGCACGGGCACCTACCGAGTCATAATAGGACATGACGCCTTTTTGATCTGGGAATGAGAAGGGAACTTGACTATATCCAGACGGGGTTTGGGGCGAATAGAGATCATATGAGATGGACGGACGGGATGGTACTCTTTGCGTGCGTGCTTCGGGTTGGAGCGGCGACTTAATGAAAACATGCTTTTATCCCCCCAACTCGGTTCGTCTTGTTTTCATTCGGCTTCGACAATATGATCGAGTACCATTGGTATGACATCGGTATGGATGGGTGTGACAGACCAGAGGTTGAACCCGCCGAGGGCCGAACCTTGAGTCTCGGCTAAACCTTGGACGTTGCGTCGTCGGCAAGGTGTTATTCGCCGATGACACGGGCAGATTTCCATCGACATCTCGGGAGCAACGGTCAGCCTAAGACATCGCGCCGGTCGGCTAGCCTGACAGAGTGTTTGCCACATTTGCAATTGTAGAAACAAGATCGAAGTCGGCCGTCCCTCGAAAGGCCCGGCCAACAAACAGCCCCCTTCGGCCCAGCCCGACGCGAGATACAGATCCTGCCGGCGGCATCCATCCTTCCATCGAATAGCCCAGCCAATAAACCCAACCAACCAACCGCTCGGACGGGGAGGTATGATGTGATTGACTGTGTTGTGTGGTGTATGCATGCATGCATCACACCTCAAAGCCCGACCGACGTCCGACATCATACATTTACATTTTCGCAATCACGCAAAAACACACGGACGTTCGACACACAAACCAAACAAACCACCACCACTTTGACCTCGGTGCGAACCGGGCTGGCGGGCGCGCCGCCGCGCGCGCGGGTTGTGGCGTTGCGGGAGGTTCCGCCGCCCGGCTGGCCGGCCCCCAAAGTGAGGTGGTGGGCCCCCGCACTTTTGTTTTTATTTATTTTTGCGTTTGGGAAATGTGGCTTAGGGTTTTTGCTCTTCTCAGTAAAGCAGTTGATTGGGAAGGGGTTAAGATGGGTTCATTAAGAGTTGGGGTGCCACGTGGGGGGGGGGGGGGTTGATGTTTAATTGATTTTTGGAGTGGTTGATGGGAGTTGGTTATTCTTAGGTATTTTTTTTTTAGTTGTTAACCTTGATGTCTTGGGAAATAGTCAAACGTATTGGAATTGGGGGGCTTAAGTCGATGATGGTTTGTAAATGCAACCCTGATGGGTTCGGATCTCGATGATGTTGCGGTTCGGTCCATCAAGGTCGGTGATGGTAACGGTGACGGTGATGGAACTCCATCAAACGCCCGATTACGCCTTTTCTGGATGAGGGGAATGGGAGATCGGACTTTTTGGCATGTGATGAACGTTATTGGTCGTTTTGTTGGTTCCGGGAAGAGCGGGATCGAGCTGTAGTTGCTTTGCTTCAGCTAGTTGCTGTTGTGATCCCGGGGAGGGTTGATATGGTTTAGACAGTATCGACGAGAAGAGTTCCCCGTTGGACCCTGTCGTTGGTCCGCTAGATGGGTTTCTCTGGATATGGAATGGTCCACGGGTGTTTCTCCTTTTCTGCATAAGGTAACCAACCACCAGTTCTGTTGGATCGGTGTTAGGATGATGTTGCTTGTTATGACACTGTTTGTCGACTTGACCACCAACACCAGTTGGGCCCCAAGAAACTCATTCCCCGTGGCACACAGAGGACAAATCACATACACCAGATCATTGAGCCGCGCGAAGGATGTTCTCGTGTTGGTCGTAGTCATCACCAGTTCTATCTTTCGTTGGTCGTTGGCATCAACTCGTTTTCAACTCGGGCCGCGGCAACTCCAGTCCACACTCCCAGAAAATCGCAGAACTTGGTCACTTCGTGAACTAAACTCATGAATATGTAAAAACAACACAATCTATTCTAAGGTAGATGGATATTGCGTCTTACTTAGTGTCGAAGGGGAGCCAGCATGATCCAGTAGGAAGGCCAAAAAGGCACAACCAAAACCACGATCACAGGGGAAAATAGGAACTATCCGCTTGGCCCTCCCAACAAACTAAACTCCTGTGATCCCCTAGGGAACTCTGTTCTCGGTTGACTATGAGGGTTGGATTAAGCTGAATCGAGTCAATCTTCTTACAGTTGGCCACGGAGTCTCCTTATGCGGACTGGACTATCGAGTTGATCAAAAGTGCCAGAAGCAAAATGGTGATATTCACAGGTTCTACCTTGTCGATTCGTTCTCGTATATCCACTTCGCGGCAGCCAACCAACCAACCCAACTTACCTGCGTGTTTGAACTTGTCATGACGATATGAACCTGAACCGGGCCATGTGCGTCCTGATACGCGCAGTACGTTGTGACAGTCTCGTTGGTTCACTGGAAATCATCAGACTGTGGCAACACACCAAGACAATAACATCGGGGTGTACTGACCGGCCGTTTTTCACGGCAGGTAGCCAACTTGAAGAAGTCATGATGTTTGATTTATCCAGTTACGAAAGAAGATCTGAACGCTGCCGAAAGTCACTAGCCACCAAGAACGCCTACCCACATTGAACCACCAATCCAGTTATCCTTCGTTCTTCCTGTTGTCCCATATGGTGTCAGGAATACCCTACAGGCCCAACGCAGCAACACCGGCATCCAAGTCCATGGGATCATCAGCCCTCAGAGCCTTGCCTCCCCAAATTATCGTCCCCCTGCCGTCAACAGCGAACGCCCCCGCGGTTTGCCACTTGTTACCCATGACCGTGCTCGCCCCGGCCATCTCCTCCGCTTCGTCCATCCCGTCGGCACCGGGTGCTGGCGGCGGCGCCCCCTTCTTCCCGCTCGCCCCCGTCCCCTTCCTCTGCAAGCCCCCCGGCGCCGCCGCACTGGCCGACGGCCCTCCCGTGCCGGTCCTCTGGATCGCGCCCGCGACCTTCTCGCCGAGCCAGCCCTTCTCCTTCCAGCCCTGCACCTGGCTGGTCGGGTTGAAGACGTACCACACGGAACCCAGCCCGAGGCCCCAGGCGGCGTAGATGGCGCGGTCCTCGTCGATGACGACCTGGACGTTCCAGGCGCCGCCGAGGAGGTCGATCCATTTCTGGGTGGCGGCCGGCGAGGAGTGGGAGACGGCTATGCAGGTCAGGTTGTTCGCGTGCCTGTTTGCCAACGTGCGGAGGGCGAGGAAGGTCTTTTGGGCGACTGTATCCACCGACGTTAGCTTAAGCAAGACACCGTGAGAGACATGGGATCCGGGAGAGAGGTTTCCAATGGGGGTGAGGGTTCGTTGGTGCAGACGGACATGCAGGTGAGGGAGGGTCTGTGTAAGTGCAGGATGGTAAGACGGATGAGACGTACATGCACACCCGACGCAGCGCAAGAAGACGACTAGCACCGGCTTGCCGCGGCCGAACTCGAGCTTCCTGTCCCGATCCAACGGGGCGAGGTCGCCGATCTTGGGCGGCTCGGCGACGGGGACCGGAGGCGGGGGCGGGGAGAACCACGGGGCGACGGTGATGGGAAGGGACTTCATCGACATCCAACCCGGCCAGCCGCCGTTGGAGTTCTCGGCAACGTCATCCAAACCCGGGTTGGTCCCGCTCTTGGACTTCGTATCGGAGCCGCCGCCGCTGAAGTCGAAGGACTTGCTGTTCAGGCCCACCTTCTTCAGGGCGATCTTGGTCGTCAAGCTTGACAGCATGATGATGATCTCGTCGCAGGTCGCAGGTGGGGGGAGGGGTATGAATGGATATGAGCGGACGATTGTCTTGTTTCCAACGCTTGAAATGTCACAAGAGTCGGGAAGAAGAGAAGGCGAGCTCAGAAAATCAACTACCTGAGCAAGTTGAAAGGGAAAATGCAAGGATGGAGCAGGTTAGGACGAAGACTGCAGGTAATGCAACATGTAACAAGATTAGGTTCTGGAGAACATAAAAGCGTGAATGAAAGAAGAGAGACGGAGGGAACAGAGGAGAAAAGTGGCCGGCATGCTTATGGTGGCCGGCGGGATCCCATCGTCGAAGAAGGGGGGGAAGGGGGAGGGGAAGCTCTGGCAAGCTCCTGAAACTTTTGATACAGGGCGCGTTGCATGTTTTGTTAGCGAAGCCGCGCTCTGAGCTCCTGAAAACCGCCGTGTCGCGAGGCTGAAAGCCACGGCGTTATCAGTTCCCCTGACTCTTGCAAACAAGACCCCTGAGAAGACAAAAGAGAAGAACTTGGGAGACTTCTTCCCGATTGGCCGTCCGTTGTCGTGTGGCAGAGAAGCACAGATTATCAGCCTCGGCGCTGTCTGTGGTGGTGGTGTTGCTGCAGATGTTTCGTTCCCGGGATGTTGGTTCCGCGCTCTGCGCCGCTTGCCTGTGCAAGCACTATGGGAAAAGAAAGGGACGGGGGAAAAGAACAGACAATTGTTTCGTTTACAATTAAAGATGCGGGAACATGTCTTAAGTAGAAGCAGGTTAATTCTTACGCCAGGGCCAATCTGGCATTTCATGCTTCAACATTCCTACCCGAATGGGATGTCTGGCCGTCTTGCTGGGTCTCAGTGCCAGCGAGGAGCTGCCAGAATGAGAAATGTCCCGGCCGGAATAGGGGCCAAGACACTGAATATGACTTGAACAACTGGCCTGTCCGGTGTCCATGATTTGGGTCGGTTCTGCATTTTGGAAATACGTGAGCTCGCGTTGGAACGCTCGCCCGCATTCTTCAGACGGCTAGTCCCCGCCGAAACGCTCGAATGTTTTTCGAGTCACGACTCACTTAAGCGTGTCGATACAAAAGTCTGAATTTCAACGTCAATGCGCGAACTGCATAATCGTTCACCAAAGTGATGACTTGGAGATTACGCCGCTAAACCAGACGGAATGCGGACAATGACTTGTATGTCGATGGTCAATGGTGATCTCATTATCGGAGATCATTATGGACGTTACGTCGATGGAGCTGAACGAGTGTTTGCCTAATCAAGGGAGCTCGAGAGCTAGAGACAGACGATTGAAACATGGCATTGCAGAGCCGTAACGGCCCACTCCAATAACAGGGAGGATGCATGGAGGTGGAAAGATTGTTGTCCGTCTTCACTTTCGCCTCATCGGACCGCCGTGCACTTTTGCCGGGCCCAACTGCAAGCTCCGTTTGTCGCCTCATTTCGAGCAAAGCAGTCCGGCGAATGGCCACCGGCCTGGCCTGCTGAATACTCGGAGCAATGTGCCAAGATCCGGGGACATGAATGTTTGGATGAATCGGAGCATTTAGAGCTGGCCTCGACTAAACGGTACAGACTCGGTCCTAGCAGCAGATTGGTGGAACTGACGTCGATTCGCGCGTCCCTAGACTTAGGGAGACCGGAGGCGGGAATGTGGGGAGCGGGAAGCGTTCACGGATCGTCTTCCGCCGCGCAATTGATTGCGGATGGGCAGTCGGAGAGTGAGAGGTCTCAGATGAACAATACCGCGATGACGAGAAGAGGCGGCGGTACGGGTGGCTGAGGGCTGGACTCTGCCAAACTCCTTCCTCTGCGGGAGCCATCTTACGTCCAGTCCAAATGCAGCATTTCTCGCGCAACAACACATGTCAGATACGCCTCCCAGAAACGTGGCCGTTTCTGCCGTCTGACTCTTTGCCCGAGAGAGCTGAGTGAAGCGCGCCATGGGTGTTCAGTCTCTAGCGCTTCTGGCAAAAAGGCTCCGAGGGCGCAGTCCGAATCGGACTGAACACGCCGTTGCTATTCTGAGCAACGATGAGTGAGAATACGGGACTAGTGAAGTTGTGCCCACGGTTCGTTCGCGCCGCGCCAGCTTGGAGACTGTGATGGATCATTTCAGATCCACATATTGGCTCGCTGTCAGACGTCGCGAGTCTCCCGCTCTCCGCGGTGGATGCAGTTGATGGGGGGTTACATTGCATCCTGGGGCGAGTTGCTGAGAGCGCACCTTCTGTGTTCATCACTCAGGCCGGCCTGGTTGGGCTCCAGATGAGCATGTCAAAGTCCTCAACACAGTCGCGATGTGGGGGTTCCCTATGACTCTATGCGGCTAGCGATAGAGCTCAACTGGTCAGTTCCCCATTGAAGCGTAACAGAGCAGATCCAAGCGGCGCCGAAAGACGTCCGAGGTAATAGCATGACGTCGGCGATGGCATTCAGTCAGGTACCCTTGTGTGAAGAACAGCAACCAGATGCGCAAGTCAGCCGCAAAGGATGTTGCACGAGTCCAGCATGGCCAAGTGTGTTGTTCGGTTCTACTAACCCTCAGGGCTAGCTGGGTGAGGTCTACTCTTGTCGTGAGTGTTACCCAAGAGATTCTGTTGAAAACGGGAGTGCCAAACTCAAGCCTCAGCGATGGACTTGGCAGGTTGTTGCGGCGAGATGTCTCTCGCGTGGCTAGAAGCATTGTGGCTCTCCCAGTACTCTTACGTCATCAATGGGATGCGCTGACAAGACGTCAGACATAGCTGTGGCCTAAGATCTTATCCCATCTGGTTGCGTTTGTAGTTACGCTAAGGCCGCCCCTCTCCGTCTGAAGTCAGCGTAGCGGTGGTCTGCGAAGGCCGATGGTGACACTGGTTGGCGATGAAGCGGGCTGGTAGGACGTGTTAGTGCTGTTTTGTCCGGGAGAGAGCGACTCCAAAGGGCAGATAATCTGAATGAAAGATCAGGCGAAAGCCTCTGTTGCGCGACGAAAAGAGGGGAGTATCTGGGTTCAGGTGACAAGACAGGATGAGAGAAGCGAAAAAGTCGCCGAAACCCGTACTTCTCAACTGCGCCGTCCTCAGGGAGGAGGATCGTACGGATAGTTCATCAGCCCTGCTCCAGCCCTAGACCACATGGCTATGGCCGTATACGGGTGGTGTGGAACGCTAAGGACCGTCCCGAGTAGACGAGTTGCTCGGTGGTAGTGGGGAGAAACTCTCAGAATAGATTGAAGTTTAGCAACTCTGTCGCACGTCGGATGGATATCGTGATAGACTTTCGGACTTGAGCGAAAGTCTTGGGCCTGAAGCCTTGGGCTTGGGGTCTCGTTGACAAGGGCGGTGGTTGGCGGGATCTTGCTGCCAGGCTCGCCAAGTTGCCTCACGGAGCTGATGGAATGTCTCCTGTTTGGTAGGCTGGTAGAAAGGAGCAATAATATCGAATCGCCGAGGCAGCTAGGCGCAGGTGATACGGTACATCTCGCAGCTTGATCCGTCGGCCGTAGATTAGCAATCTAATCCAAGGGAGGGTCGGTTTTTGCCAGACGGAGCAATGTGACGACCCTCCCGAGCGAGGCGCTTAAGCCGGTACACCGAACCCCTGAAGAGGAGAAGCGCAAACGAGCGAGTGGGAGATGGTTCGGCCGCATGGGGGAACGTGACTAGAATTCCGAGACCAAGTCGCCGAAGGATGTGTGGAAGGAACTGGCTGATTCGCAGTCTTGAACAGCAAGTATTAGCTGAGGACTATCGATGCCGGGACTGCAGGTGTCGCCGCGCTGTCTTTAGCGGCCGCGGCGGCAGCAACTTGGGCAGGCCGTTTTGAGAACCGACCCCACACACGGACAGTGAAGACAAGGCGGGGACGAGATGAAAGAAGCTCGTGGCGTGGTCTTTCCGGGATACGGCTCAGCTGCATTGGCTGACGGATATCTCGTTCGAGTTCACATTGCGGTCCAAAGCCATGAGCGAGACGCACGGAGAAGGGGTCGACCGGGGCGGTTCCCAAGCCCCATGGCGATTTCGAGGAGAGACTCAAACGAAAGGCGGTCGACCAAGACGAAGACGGGGTGATTGCGGAGAGCGATACGATGCGGTAGCAGGTGCGGACGCGAAAACACGACGGAGTCTGGGTCTGTCTTGACGCGTTGGTGGTTCTCGTCCATTGTTGGCTCGGCTTCGGACGTTAGGGGCCATCCCATCGGCGAACCATCAACACGGAGACGGCTGGAGGGAGGTACATGGTGAGCTTGTCGTGTAAGGTATTCGGAGCTGGGATGCGTATGGCCTGGCACGTCTCCACCGTCTCCTGGTTTCTGGAAGGACATTCAGGTGGCCATAGTACCGGGACCCTGATAATTTTAAGGTGGTGGAAATAGATGATGCAGGCAGGGGATGCGGGAGCAATGGGAAAGGGAAATATGGAAATGAGAAAAATAGGGCGACAGGCCACGAGACAAGACGAGACGAGACGAGAAAGGCGGTAAAGAACGGGCGAGATTTGGGTATCCGTAGGTAGCTTGAGATAACGATAATAACAATGAACCTTGAGGGGCAATCGGCAATCGGTATCAACTGGGCAGGAATCTGTCAGAAGGGGTAGGCATGGTGCAGTTGTTCTTTTCTTTTGCTCCTGCCGAAGTCGTATATCCCACCACCGGGTTTCCATCTTTTCATCGTGGTGGTTGCTTATTGCCTCCAATCCACTGTCTGTGGTTGCCGGTGCGGGCGCGGTATCAGCATCAGCATCGGCATCGGCATCTGTGGCGGAAGGTGCATGACATGACGAGGCGCATAGCACATGTCTGTCCCAGTTCTTCCTTTTTCCATTCCACGTCCCGTCTGGAGCGGGAGGCGGGGGAGAGAGAGGAGAGAGAGGAGAGGGCTGGGTCAAATGCCTCACAACACAATCACAGGAAAATTGGTTGATGCAATGCAGCAACTCGCGAGTTGTCTTTAAGCGGGTCGTGATGCTTACTAAGATAAGGGAAGGTAGCCCTATCGGGGCTGTACATCAAGTGAAAGTATCCGTATCCATAACCTACTCCTCCACTGCGGGACTCGGCAGCCGAGCAATAAAGACGGGAGCCCGGAGATGCAGCTGGGCGTGTGATGACGTAAACAAGACAGGAGCAAATTTACGCAGTGAGATGGTTTGATCACAGGGCCGGCGGTCGAAGGCTCGAATGTTCCAAACCAAAGACAAGACCAAAATTCAAGACAAGCCAATCCGTCAGTCTCTTCGACGTCATTTTCCAACAGAGGAAAGGCCGTCTGCGCGGAGACAAGCGACGGGCAGTGGTTGGAGGGGTACATGATATGTGGCGCCTGTCTGCCCCCTTAAACCCTGTAGCCCGTTTTATGGTGCGTGGTGCGTGCTCCCAGCTCCCAGCTGGTGCAGACCGGACCCGGGTGAAATGTAGGTGGAGGTATTTTGTACATTTTGGCGAGGCGTGTAAGGGACAGTACTTGGCTTGTGCTGGGCTCCCAAATTGCATCCAGAGCTTGTGTTCCTTCCCTACTCCCGTCGCTGCCATAACCCATTGCCCGCGCGCTCCGTGCATGCACTGTATTTTATTTGGTGGCATGTCCGTACGGATATTGGTTGTGGCATGCTGAAGAGGAGTGATGCTCATATATCAAAATTGCGGAAAAGAATGGGAAGAAACGGCAGGTGAGGTCATGTTATGGTACCTCAGGGCCAAGATGTCAGATAGGTATGTTAGGAAGGTGAGGTCAGAGACCAGCACCTGCTATTTGCCAGCTTTGGTAGAGATAGAGCAGAGGTTGGGAGGGCCGGGCCTGGATGCGACCGCGGGAGGGAAAGACGGCATCAACCTAACGGGAAGGAGAGAACGAGAACCTGGAAAGGTGCAGAATGGTCATTGAAGAATCGCATCTTGCGTCTTTCCATTTATGTGTCTTGTTCCAGATTGGCAAGTTGCAATTGGGACGGGACTTGCCTCACGGCCGACGGCTTCCACCTTCCACCTTCCTGACCTTGCCTGACTTCTCCGACTGAGGTATCTTTGCCAAGTCCGTGAGCATTGGATGTTGGAGTCAACGGATTAGCCAACTGCCCTTTTTATTTTTATGTTTTGCCTCAATCAGCTTGTTTCGTTTGTTGGTCACTAACTGTTCATGTGCCATCAGCCGTAACGCGGTCTCCGAGCTATCTTACCGGTACGTCACTTCACACTTGATCTAAACGCCTACTCTGTATTGACCGGTTGAGTTGAGTTGGTTGGCGCGGTCGTGGAGACGCTGTCGGGTTCGTTGAGTTGGCTATCACTGCACTACCGTTATTGGCGGCGGCCTAGCTGAACAATTATCTGGACGCTGTTCAGTGATAGGTTGAGTGTTCATTTTCGAAAGGAAGGCATCTGGAGTTTCGAGGGAGCAGGTTCCGGGGCTGTACTGCGTACGGTGCGGAGTCAGGGTGAGGAAGGTACATTATTGGGTTGGCTGTGTGTACCTGCCTTATTACATATCCAGCAGGGCCAGACCGACCCAACACTGAGATGGGACAGCAAATATATCCTTCCATCTCTGCTTTCCATGTGTGTATGATGCCGATGTTATAAGGTTTCCAATGCGATTGCTCAGTGTTTGTTGTTCAGGTTGCTGCTGCTTACCTTCCATTACCTGCATGACCCCCGCCTCGTCCAGCTTTTTAGAGTGCGCTTCCCACGGTCATGACCTCTGCATCATCTCGGCGAACGAGTCCTCGACACGAACGGCACAGCCAGTCAGCTAGCAGCTTCCCCTACCTACCTTACCTACCTAGGTACCTTACTATTACTTTAAGAGTAGGTTCCCTAGGTCCCCTACCCAATAATTACCAGGTGCCCTTTCGTGCAAACTGCCGCCAAGTACCTCCAACCCTAGCAAGCCCCTAAAGATACATGCCCTTCCTTACCTGCATCTTTCTCTCCCCCTCGTCTATTCGTACTCTCTCTCACTCAGTGCCGCACGCACTCTACACGTCCCGCGTCGACCTACGTCCTGTCCTGTCCTGTCCTGTCCGTAATACTGCCACCACCCTTGCCTTTGCCCTGCTTCGGCAGCCCAGGACAGGAGAACGAAAGTGACCTGAGGAGAAGCAGTCGGGTACCTTACCTACCCCCCAAAGGTCAGGTACCTTACTTCAGTACCTTACCTCTCCTCACCTTCCTGAGGGTGTCTCTCGTCTGCGGCGTCTGCTGCACCTTCCTTGCACTCCCAAACGAAACGCTCCCCTTCCACTTACCATACTCTTCCCTTTTCCGGGAGAATCATTCAATTCTCTCACCTCTCTGAAATTCGGCCTCAAATTCCCATCCTACTTGTTTTCTTTCCGCTACTCCGCGTCACTGGCAGACCCGACCCGAATCACCACCGCATTGTATCGCCTCAGAAACACCGCCAGCAGTAGTACCGTGTCGGCTACGCGGTGCACCCCCTTTAGACCCTTTTCCCCCCATCGTTATTTCGCGGTCCACTGCCCGAGGCACCCCCCGTCCAGTCCTGTCGCTTTTGGGCCAACGTCCCCGATCTAAACTCCACACCCTGCCTTTCGCCTCCTTCCACCGACGACATTCTCTCTCTTCTCTGAAGAGGACTGTTCGCCGCACCGCGACCTCCCCCCGTTTCCTCTCCGACAACCACACTCAACTGTGCCGACCCCGACTTCTTCGCCATCGCAAGCAACTCTTAATGCATACTGTCGATTCCTTCGCACCCATCTAGCAGCAGTTTACTCGTGCGAGCCACCGTCTGCCCTGCCCATCCCCCGAATCCCTCAACCGCTCACCCCCTCGTCTGCCGCCCGACGAGCCAGACTCGAACACGCTGAGCCGTGTCAACCTCGTCGACCGTGTTCTGAAGACGCCTACCATCTCCTACCTCGCCATTTACTCGACTTTGCCTGTTCGCGACGCCTCAGTTGCTCCTGCAAGACTCTGCTCCATCGCCGCCGCTCTGCCGCCGCCGACGCCGACCCGTCCTCGTCACGGAAGCTGAGCCAGGACTCGCTCCATGGAAAGTCGGGCGACAACCGCAGAATCGAAGCATACTTATCCCACTAGCCCTTGGCTTCACCAGCCCTCGATATCCTCCGCGAGCGCGACTCTCGGTCCTTACCACTTTGCCGACGCTTCCTCCCGCGTCCCCACCCAGCTAGAATTCTGGCCGCTTCTCTTCCCTCAGCAAGCCTCCGTCTACAACGCTCAGTTGCTACACTACACCAATCTCGTCTCTCCGGGACGAGGAGGCGGCTTGCACCAACAACAACCGCTTCCTCTGGCGACAGTGGCTACTCCTCACATTCAGGCGGCCCCTCGTTCCCGATCCGCCTCCAAAGTGTCGAACAAGGATACTTCCGCGGTCAAGGGCACCCAAGGAGGCCATGGGAATAGAGTCGTGCAGAGCAAAGACACAGGCGATCGTGCTGTCGTAACAGGCAAGGACGCTCCGCCCAAGATGCAGCAGCCATCCCAACCGGAGCTTTCGCATCCCCTGCCCGCTCGCCCTGCGGCGCGGCCCACCAATGGCCAGTCTCACTCCAACTCCATGCCGTCGACGCCACAACAACACGCTAGGAACTTTTCTTTTGAGTCGCGAGAGCCTTCTCCCACCGCCACGAATAACCACTCCCCTCGCTCTGCCTACTCCGAGACGAATAGCAATCTTCCCTCATTACGACCCCTCCCTCCGCGTTTGGGTGGTTGCCAATATGAGACGGCGCAGGTAAACTCGAGAAGGAGGATGCCGTACAATTTGGGAAGCGACAGGCTGGAAAAGACCAATCTTGATAAGATCAAGAGCAAACTATCCGAGGATGAGGAGAGAAAGTTGACCACAGACATGCGAGAGCTGTACGACAGGTTAATACCGACTGAAAAGGTCGAGGCGAACCGCAAAAAGCTCGTCGTCAAGTTGGAGAAGATTTTCAACGAAGAGTGGCCTGGGAACGACATCCGTGTGAATCTCTTTGGCTCTTCGGGGAACCTGCTCTGCTCGGACGACTCTGATGGTTTGTGGAACACCATTCCCGCTGTTCCAGGGTTAACACTAACATTCCCACAGTCGACATTTGCATCACCACACCATGGAAGGAGATGGAGATGGTTTGCATGATTGCAAATCTTCTCGCAAAGAGTATGTCGCTAGCTTATGACTTTGTGAGCTTGGCTAATGTTCTTGACAGAGGGCATGGAAAAGGTCGTCTGCATTTCCGCCGCCAAAGTCCCCATCGTCAAGATTTGGGATCCCGAACTCGGTCTCGCCTGCGACATGAACGTGAACAATACCCTGGCTTTGGAGAACACGAGGATGGTCCGAACATACGTAGAAACCGACCCTCGTGTGAGGCCGCTGGCAATGATTGTCAAGTACTGGACGCGGAAGAGGATTGTGAACGATGCCGGTATGACTTGTTACGTGCTCTCGTACAACATCATTGCTAACCAAAACAGCATTCGGCGGCACTCTCAGTTCATACACCTGGATTTGCTTGATCATCGGATTCTTGCAACTTCGAGATCCTCCAGTCCTCCCGTCACTTCACCAGCGACAACATCAACGGCTTCCTAAGAAGGGCGGGCCGGAGAGTGCGTTTGCCGACGATCTTGACAAGCTGCGTGGGTTCGGTGACAAGAACAAGTCCTCCCTCGGTGAACTCCTGTTCCAGTTCTTTCGATTCTATGCGCATGAGTTCGACTACGACAAGTATGCCATATCTATCCGGCTCGGCAGGAGACTATCGAAACAGGAAAAGGGATGGCACATTGGTCTGAACAACCACTTGTGCGTGGAGGAACCTTTCAACACCATCCGCAACCTGGGCAACACCGCGGACGAATATTCCTTTCGTGGACTCCATCTGGAGTTGCGTCGGGCGTTTGATCTCATCTCCGAAGCGAAATTGGACGAATGCTGTGAGCAGTACATCTATCCCAAGGAGGAGCCGCCAACTTTCCAAAGGCCCGCGCAGACATCAAGGCCGGTCATGATCCGCAGCTCCTCCCAGCAACATTCCGGAAGGGGAGGCCGTGGAAACTACCGTGGAGGACGTCATTCTAACAACTTCCACCGGAACGGGAATTCGAACCGGAGAGCTTCCTCCAGCGTCGCCTACGATACTAACACAATGTACATGCCGTCCGTGGCCATGACACCGCAGGAGCTCGCTTGGTACACACAACAAGCGCAAACTCACCCACAGCTCCAGTACCCCGCGCTTGTGAGTGCAGCCATGGCCGCCCAACTGCAGCAAGAAAATAACATTCGCCTCCAGCTATACAGTCAATCCCAGGTGTATCAACAAGTCCAGGCGCAAATGGCAGCCCAAATGCATGCAGCGCAGAGGATGCAAGGTTCCACCGCGACTTCGCAGCAGGGCTCAGAGAGATCTAGGACCAACTCTTTCGACAACCCTCCGCTTAGTGCTCCCATCGCTACCCCAGATTGGTACAGCATGTACGGCGTTGGCGTTCCCTTCCCTGCCGCGGCATACTACAACCAATCTGGATTCACGTACCCTTCCTCGCCAGCGACCACAACCGCCGCACCCGAATATCGCAGAGGCCTCCAAAGGTCTTCGGTAACAACAGAGTCAGGCACGTCGACGTCAGGCAGCTCACTTAGGTCACAATCGCAGCCCGCTTCGCGCACTGCTCCCACGGGACACCAGACTCAAGGCTACCCCGGGACCAGCGCACCGGCGAACGGAAGTTCAAACCCCGCCCGTCAAGTTAACGGAGTCCCGATACCGAGCTTCATCCCGGATGACGCCGATTACGATGAGGCGCCTCAACGGCCTGCAAGCAACTCACCGAACTCCGACGAGGGCGCAGCATACTTAGGTTACTACGTGTCAGACGCATCTAGTCCAGCGCGCTCACAAGGTGCCCCGAACGCCAGCGCCTTCGGTGCAGAGCTTTCACAGCCCAACCAAGGACGCAGGAGGCTATCAACCGAAGTCCCGCAAACGATTCTTGACCGCCGAATGCGACGGACATCACGCTCGCCATCTCCTTTGGGTCATGCCCGCACGTTTTCTATCGGTACGTCGGCTGCGCAAAGCCAACCACCGGTTGCTGCCAATACGAATGGACGAACGGCGTCGAGGCCACTGGTGGTAAACGGGACTGGCTCATCTTTGCGAACAAGTTCGATTCCGTCGCACTCATCTGCAGCACCCGGAACAGAGACTCAGTACGGAGAGGCATCCGCCAGGTTATCGCAGGACAACACGTTGCAGATTCAAGGGCTGGGAATCAGTAGTTTCGCAGCGGATCAGTTCGACGGCCAACCGCCTCAGAAGTCTGAGACAGTGCACACACCGGTCTCCGAGCGACCTCCCCTGATCGTCAACGGCACAACCACCCCTTCGTCTGCCGCAAACCAGACTCCTTCGGCATCACCTGCGTCCGCACCTCGGCTCGATGACCCGTCATTTCGCGATCGAATTGCCCTGATGTCGATGAACCAGTACGCGTGGGCTCAACAGGCACAAGCTTCTGCGTCTCCGGAGGTCGTGAACGGCAGTCAATTATCCCTTCGGCAACGTGCTATGCGACAGCAAAGCGGAGTGATAGCGCCACTTGACCTTGCAACCCGAGAGAATAGGATGAACGGTCATCAGCTGAATATCGATGCTCAGCACTTGTCGCCCATCAATGAAACAAGGTCGCCTTCGCCGACAGTCGTGAGAAAGGGGGACTATTTGGCCCGGAGTGACCAGCTCCCCGTCGCGCAGACTTCAGTCCCGACTGCCGAATCGAACGTGCGAGGTCAGGCTGTGAAGGATGTCAAGCAAGCTCAAACGACACATACACAAAAGTCACATCCTACCACGACTCAGCGTGTGTCGCAGCCGCAGCAACAGTCGGCTCAGTCCTCTGGCCAGACTCCTCCCAGAGTTAACGGCACCCGAGAGAACGGTCACCGGGGCAACAGAAATGAAGGTCATGGTCACGAAGGAGGATGGCAAAAGGCTACGAAGGGTCGAAAGAAGGGAGACGCGAAGAATCACGGCAATGGATTCACTCCAAGCGAGCAGCCACCCAAGCATGAAGCAGATCGAAAGGGCGGTTAAGAAGTCGAACAAGCCAGCAATCTAAGCGGGATCATCGAATGACAACAGAAAGCTGCCGTTGCTTTCTTGGATATGGACAGAGTTGGGTGGTGGCACACCGTTGCTCGCTCATCTGCTTTGGTCATGGACAAGTTGGACACTGCCATTCTGGATTATGACGCAGTTTCATGGCAGAAAGTCGTTGTCCTGGCTTTGTGGACGAACGTCTGAGGGCTGGTAGGAAAAGGCAAAGGCTGCTGCAGTGGACGAGTCGCGAGGATGGATAGGTGCTGTGACAAGCACCTTCCGCAGCCTCGACATCAGCATCACAACCTGTCTACTAGCGACTACGAGGCATCGAAGACGGAACGAAGCAGGAACGGCAAAAGTTACGAATTTCAGCGAGAGCGCATCTCGGGGCCGGATGGTGTTTGCTCGAGCGTCAAAAGTCGCATTACTATGACTCAAGTCGTCATTTTCACCGATAAAAGGTTGTAAGGGGGTCTGTTGCGTTATACCTGGGCGGCAGGGTCTGATTATTTGTCTCATTGCATCTGCGGCAACGGTCTCGGTATGGGTTACGGTTCAGGCATGCGTCATCAAGTTTCTTTTTTGTCACAGTCATACCACGGGGGAAAAAGGCACATGAAGATGGAAGAGAGTGTGGACGTTGACCGCAGAAAGGCTGTACGGTGTAAGACGGCTGGAAACTGTCACGAAATACCCAGCGGGGGCCTCTGCCTCCAGAAAAGGAGCAGAAGGGAGAAAACCAGCATGGCCGCGATATAGGAGCGGAAAAGACATCAATGACTAGTGTCAGTGTAAGCAGATAGACGGAAAGCGTTAAAAAGACATGATTTGAAAAGACACGAGCTGCGGCCCCATGAGGTGAACCCCACACTCGGCAGATCATCATCAGCGTTCTCGTATCAACCTCGAGTCAAGTTCAGTATCCCAGCAGATGAAGCCATTGCCAGGTGCTTGAGGACCCGGCGCGTGTAGAGAGTACACCACTAGTACATCCATCCCCCACTCGCACTCAGCCTTATTTGACGATCTCTACTGCGTGGGGTTGGCCATAACGATTCCCAACGAACCCCAGAACATATCGTATCCTCGGTTCGTGGGGGTTGGGGTGGTTAGGCAGAAGGATAAATCCTCCGGCCGCAAGCATGAAACACGTTCGGTCTGATGAATATCCATCCGTTTCGCTGCACCCACGTCGGGTGGTTCCGAGTCTACGGTTGGCTAATGATGTCGTCCATGTGCCTGTCAGACACACGCACCGCAATTGTCTTATTGTATTGTCTGGATACGCTCTGAGTGCGATCTCGGCTGGCAGTGAGATGTTGTTGTGAGAGTGACTTGACAGTGTCGAAAAAAAGATCAGACGGCCCGCCCGCGCTTACATCACGCTAAAAACTCCGAAAGGACGACGAAGGAATCTAAGCCCTTATCTACTCGCCATTCCTTCGTATTCCATTCATCCCATCACACCCTTTGATAACATTTCCATCCGGCCATACGACTCGTCCCCGGCTGTAGTTTGTGATGGACCGGCGCACACAAGGCAGCGAATCGCCCGATCTCAACGGGGATGCCGACTCCGCGGCCGAGCCGGGGAGGACTTTAGGACGGATCCGGGAGCTCACGCGGCGTGTGCGGAGCGCGCTGAGGGAGGCCGGCGCGGATGCCGCGTTTAAGGAGTACGGCAGGGTTGCGGACCACGCTGCGCTGTGCCGGTCTTTGTTGAGGACGTCGCCGGAGTCTGGTGGTGGTGCATCGGGGCACGAGGTTGAGGAGGAGGAGGAGGAGGAGGGGTTTGAGATCGATCCGCGGTCTTCTCTCAGCGGGAGGAGCTTACACTCCGCAGCGGCAGAGGCGGACGCGCGGCCGGATGAGCGAAGGCACTCCGATGACGACGGAGAGAAGAGGGAGTGTTTGGCTGCTATCCGGGACTGGAAGGCCTGCGTCGAGGCGCTCCTGCAGGCCCTCCGGGGCTCGCTCGCCGAGACGTACCGCAGCTACGAGCCGGGCGCGACGCCGGAGATGGTGGAGGCGCTGTTCGGGGACGTGGACTTCCGCGCCTCGGCGATCCAGCAGATGAGGAACGCGCGGATCGGCGGGACGTTCTCCGGGGGCGGCGAGGGGTTCTCGAGGGCCAAGTACGACGTGCGCTTCCGGAACCACGACCGGGTCAAGAAGGACCTCGTCGAGGTCGTCCGGGCGTTGCAGATGGCGGAGGCCGGGGAGAGCGGGGAGGCGGCGGTGGAGGAGGTGGAGATCTCGGCGCGGGGCGACGCGGTGCTCGAGTTCGCGGACGAGAGGGGCCGGCCGGCGCTGCGGTTCCGGGTGTCGAGCTGGATGCTCGCCGAGACGTCGCCCGTGTTCGAGAGGATGTTCACGGGGCGGGCGAGCATCGAGGTCTGGGACGACGAGGACCTGGAGGCCTCGCTGCCGGCGGAGGGCCCGCCGGGGACGTACACGTGTCGCGACGGGAGCGAGGCGAGGTTGTACAGGATGCCGCAGGCGGAGCGGGACGCGGAGGGGTCGTTGACGACGCTGCTGCACGCGGCGCACATGCACAACGAGCGGGTGCCGCGGGAGGTGAGCTTCGAGGGGTTCGTGGCGATGGCGGAGACGTGTCTGCGGTACCGGTGCACGAGCCCGCTGGAGGTGTTTGTCGAGCACAGGTGGCTGCCGCTGTGGATCCACAAGGGGAGTGAGGAGATGCCGGACGGGATGCTGGTCGTGAGTTACGTGTTTGGGTTCCGGCAGCTGTTTGCGCGGATGAGCAAGACGGCGGTGCTGAATGTTAGAGGGGAGGAGGAGGTGCGGGGGAAGAGGTGGCCGAGGAGGGTCAAGGAGAGGGTTTGGGGGTTGAGGGAGGCCAAGATGGGGCAGGTTGAGGATGCGTGCGCGGCGGCTTTGAGGGAGTATTTGGTGAGGGATGAGGGGGCTTCTGGCGGGAGAGGAGGTTGTGAGGAGGGCGCGGAGGGGGAGGCGGGGATGTTCATGGGGAGGCCGAGGTGTCCCAAGGGGAGCCACTGGTGCGACGCGACGAACTTGGGGTGGTTGATGATGACTTTCGGGGAGCTGGGGCTGTTGTCGACGGTCATGAAGGGGAGCGCACTCGGGGACTCGCAGCAGACACCGCCGACAAGGAAGGGGAGGAGCCTCGCGGAGCTCGTGGATCAGCTCAGGACCATCGAGAGCCCGCCGCAGGCCGTCCACAAGGGGGCCGCGTGCGACCCGGCGGCGAGGTTCAGGGCGGCCGTGAGCGACATCTACAACAGCGTTTCGGGGCTCACATTGTTCGAGGTCAGCGGGCGCGCGCACGGGTGGGGGTTGAGCAGGCACCGGTCGGGGCAGGTGCAGGCGGTGCTGCCGCGGGTGCTGAGGGGGATTTGGGAGCGGACGGAGGTGAAGGAGGAGGGGGAGGAGAGTCGGCGGAACGGGAACGGGAGCGGGAACGGGACGCTCGGGGTCACGGACGAGGTGAGGTTGATGATTCTAAGGGCGACGCGGAGCGTGGAGGATTTGCGGGCCACCGCTGTTGTCGATAAGGGGTTCTGGGGGGTGTATAAGGAGAACGAGGGGAGTTTGACGAGAAGGTTCGTCAAGGCGCATCGGAGGCACACGCTGATGAAGTTGACGAGTATGGATGTTGTTGAAAAGCGGGAGGAGAAAGTGACCAAAACGGAGGGGGATGTGTTGAAGATGGAGGTGGAGGTGGAGGTGGAGGCCGGAGCTGCGATGGTTGTCGACGGCGTTAGAGAAGACCCAAGGCCATCATCGGCTCCCGGGTACGAAGTTGCTCACGTTTCGAATGCTCTGAGCGAGGAAGAGGTCGAGCGGATCCTGTGGCCCGATTCGTTGCCGCCTCCGGAGGCTCTGCAGTCCGGTGATGATATGAAGGAGAAGTTCAGGCGGAGCGATCCGGCATTTACTGAGGGCAAGATGCTGCTCCGGGTGGAGGACAAGCAGTTGCGGGAGCAGAGAGATATTAGGGTCGGGCTTGTTAGGGATGGTGGGTGATTTCGCTGCTCGTAGCTTGGGGTGGGAGGATGTGACACTACGAGAGTCGCGTTTATGATGGAGATGATGGTATGATACACGATTGATGATAGCGGTGTTATGTTCGGCAATAGCGAGTTTTGGCGGCTAGCTACTATTGGAGTAAACATGATTTGGAGCTGTAGCTCGAGGAAAGGCTCGTATCATGGTGTTCAGGAGTCTGTTCTATTCATCTAAAGCTCAAAGGCGGGCAATTCGCAGCATGCATCTTATCCTAGAGCGTTTTATCTATAAATCAAAGAAGACGCTGGGATAGGTTTCCGAGTTGGCAATCGTCAACTGCCTACGACTCCGCCAGCTTGGGCTTCGTCTCCCTCCACTTCCGTTACTATCAACTCCTTCAGATAGCAGACAATTCTAACAGTCACCTTGGAATACATAATCGAAATATCTCGGACCAACACCGTTGCTACCTGCCTGTGTTAGTCATGTGATGGTCACATACACAGTCAGAAGAAGGCTATGATAATAGCAACGCAGTTAATTATGGGAAGTAGCGAAATCAAGACACGCTCAACGTGGGAGCTCTTTAACGTCTCTCTCTTTAGCTTCAGTGCTATTGGTTCTTCGGACTACTTAAGCAGTGCTATATAGCTGTTGATGTACGATATCGTTATAAGTATTACGCGTGGCAGGATGAATCGATCTACCCCAGTCTTGAAAGCTATGTTCGTCTGCGCCAGCGAGCCGAGTATAGCCCGGTCCCAATGTTCCCCGGGACGTATTACATCCCGGTACAGGAAACCACGCCAATCCCGCGGTTCGAACTTCGTCTCCAAACGGGCGTCGCGACGTGGATATGCCACAGCATCTGGGTTCGGAATCCCAGCGAAAAGCAATCTTTTTCTCGCGCATATCCTTGGAGCAGGAACCATATAAGAAGAAGAAGAAGAAGAAGAGAGCGCAAAGACTAAGATATATCACGCACATGATCCGACCGCCTCAGCTCCGGAATACCCTACGCCGGAACTGCGTGTATCAACACCATGACACTGTGACGCGGAGCGAATGAAGACGGACGCTGGCCAACTACCACTCTTCGCCCGTTCACCTCGACCCAAAGAAGACTCGTCAACTTCCCCCAAAGCCCGCACGCATGTCACGACAAACCCCCCTCCCTTCAGCACCATGCCTCCAAATCCCAGAATCCGGACGCGCCCTCCCCGCACCAAAGTTCCCCGATTCGTCTCGCCGAGAAGACTTCCTCGGGCATGCCAGTCAGACGTCGGCGAGCCGTATCAGGCATCTCCTCAGGGGAACGAGCAGAAAGATCAAGCAAGACTAGATTCATCTTGCAAAGCATGACACCAGCTTTGGTCAAAACCTCTCCCCTCCCCTCCGCGGCCTCCCGGCGTGACCAACTCGGTCAGTGTATTATCAAACATGACACACATCCTACACACATACCAAGGCACTCTCAACGCAACCAAGGGAAACGCGTCGGAGACTTTCTCCTCCTCGCCAGGGAAAATCACGATGAGCCATACACCCTCCCGGAACTCCCAGTAGTAGTCTCTTGCTTCGTCATCACGGAGCCCTCACATTCATGCCCTCGCATTCATCCAGGCTTTGTATTTGGTTCTGCCACTTGACTTCCAGCTGCCGTATTAGGCACGCCGCATACTAACACGCCATCACGACCTCCGTCTTCCGGTCTGGTGTGCTCGCGTGTGTGTATACCTGGAACGGAGACGTAGTCCTCAACAGGAATCTTGCAACACCTCACGCGCCCTTCTGCCTAGCAGAACCGGTCATGACCTGCACGGCAAGGTTCGTACTTCACGACCCATCGTGACGTGAAGAAGAAAAGAAAAAGAAAAGAAGAGAAAGTAAAACCAACTTTGGCCTCGTCCATCTGCCTAGCCAAATCATAAGACGCCAGGCCAAGACGGTTGTGGACCACTGACCTAGGCTTCCACTGCCAAAACGCGTCTCGTGTTGGTTGGAGGTCCTCATAATCCATCATGATGAATCATCCAAAAACCGGTACCCCAGACCAACCAAAAAACTCGTGACCTCGACGCATCGGCCAGATTCACGTCCTCACACTTCTTCGCGGGCCGCTTGGCCACCAAAGCGCCAGGTGGATGAACGGTGCCGCGTCTGTACTCTGTCATGTAGCCCCGGAAACAGGGGGACACACATAACCTCCAATCAAGTAAAACCTACGATAGCCAGGGCTGGAACGGATGGTAACTCACCACCAACAAGCAAGCAGTCCGCACGCACGCACGCAACATCTTCAACCCGACGTTCGGGTATCCGTGAAGAAAACATCCCGGAGGCGGTGGGGGGTGGTGGTGGTTGACCGTTGGCGGTGTGACTCACTCAACTCCTCACTCATCCGTGCCCCCTTCCACCCCCCCCCCCCCCCTCTTATCGCCGACGACCACCGAACCAGGCCGTTCGGCGTTTTGCGCCCAGGCCCAACTGCACACACACAACGGCGCAGATCTCACTCGCCTTGTAAGTCCTCCGGCCGGGTTGACACAAGCTCTCTCACCTGGGTCCCATCCAGTTCGTCCGATTCTTGCCCCTCCTCCGCCTTCGGAGAAGGAAGGCAGGCCAGGCCTCATGGCTCTCTTCTCATTCAGGCCCCGAAACGTCGTCATCGTCGGGCTCTGCTCCGTACCTTAGCCTGGGTGGATTAAAGATCTGGCCCATGTGACCGGCGGCATCAGCGCCTCACGATGCCTGCCAGCCAGCCAGGTTCACCGCACCACGTCGGAACTTATCCGTCAAAACCGGCGAGAACGAAAATCTGGGAAGTTGTCAGTCACAACCTACCTACCGTACGCGACGGTCGGCAAGGCAAGGCCGCAGTAGCAAGGCATACACGCATGGGCGCAGAGCTGTTTCCAGCATGATAGGTCTGATAGGCCGTTTTGGACAGAGCAACAACTTGTTTCTTTTGGTTTCTGTGTGTTCCCAGAGGAAAGCTGGCTATGAATCTCTCGAATAATAGCTTCATCGCTTTGTGTGCGTCAGGTTTCTTTTTTGAATTGTACCAATGAACATGTGCCTTTGACCGATGTGCTTTGTCATCTTCATCTTTTTTTGGTGTTGTCTCTGGTGTCGAGACTTTTCGACGTCCCTCCCGGTGTGTGGCTCGCGATTGGTTTCGTATAACCGCAGAATCGCGTACATGAGGTATTGAGAACGGTGTGCCATCGTTCGACTCGTTCGGTCGCCCCTTTCGGATTTCCCGTCGAGCGCCCAGTCACACAATCCCATACTCTGATCGCGGGCGATTCGGTTTCGACGAGAGACCTCCCCAGTCGTTTCCCATCCCATAGCGCAACTCCGTTTCCGAGTTGCTTGTTTCCGTAAACGCAAAAAATAGCAAAAAAATTCAACGCAAAAGCGGCTCTCTTCTTCAGGTGATCGTACAAACACAAGCGTGCGGCAAACATGGCCGCCACAAATCCCTCCTTCGCCGTCCACCTCCCAAATGCCCGAATCCGTGTGATGCATGCAAAATTACGACGCTTTTCGTGCCGTTCCCTGACGCCATCTAAGTTTCTAATGACTCGATGAACCGCCAAGTAGGTATCAAAGCTCTTTCCGGTCCCCGCCGTCCCCGTTGGTTTCGTTCTAACAAAGGAAATGGAGGATATTGCACAAGAAAGGTCAAGTTTTGTTTTGACGTTTAAACCGTTGGGTATCTAGGGAGTTTCGCAGAATGTTTGCTCAGTTGAGAAGTCCCTCCCACATACCCGGTCCACGGTAGCCGCCGATCGAGTGCAGTCGGGCCTCGTGGGCCTCTGTCGCTTCCGTCGCGCAGCAGACGCGCTTAGCCGGAGAGCCACGGTCAGCCGGAGCGACCTGGCCAGCTCTGGGGCGAACCAGCGTTTGAGACCACTGCTTGCCGGCAAAGTTGCCAGAGAGCATATCCCGAACATTCTCCTGGAGGGAGTTGTCAACGATCGAGATAGCGCGGCCACGCTTACGCGAGACCGGAGCAGTGGGAGTGGCGTTGTCGGTGCGGTAGTTTTGAAGTTCCTGCAGTGCGCGTGCAGCGTCGTTGGCAGGGTCCTGGGTCATCTCGTCAAGTCCTCTTTGGGCCAACGGGGTGTCCAACGACATCTGACCGAGTCTTCCAACCGGGCCGGTGTAAGACTCAGGAGACGAAGTGAGGCAATTCTCTTCGTAGTCCTCAGGAACCGAGGTGATCGTCGGTCTCATGCTGGGCCTCTCACTGCACAGCTTCGCAGACCGGAATCGCGCCTGAACTCCCAGGTTGAGAGCAGGCGCGCTAGCCAGTGACGAAGCAGATGAGATCGAGGACGAGCGAGATGTACGCGACGAGTCGGAAACCATCGATTCGGGAGAAGACGCGGTCGAGATTGAGTTGGCGAGAGACGAGCGACGAACTGGGGCATAACCCTGAGGCGAGGAGGTGTTGGCGACGGGCCACCGATCCATACACTGAGCAACAGAGACGCAAGAGGCCTGGGCCATGGCGAGGCCCATGGCACCGCCCTTGCCGAGGTTGGATGTAGCACTCACGGCAGGAGTGCTGTATCCGCTCGACTGAGGGGTGAGGCGAGGGGTGGGAAGGAGACCGAGAGCAGGAGCCAGTCGGCCAGGAGTATATACAGTAGCGGGGGTAGGCTCCATGATGGTGGGGGTGTGGAAAGCACGCGGGGTAGGAGTAAGCTCCGAGGAGTCGTATCCCAAACCGCAAACACCACTCGAAGAAATAGAGTCCTGAGTCGCCGACAGCATGGCGCGATGGCGAGCCAAGGCGCGCGGGCTGGGGGTGACACGCGCGTGAGGAATCAAGCCCTCGATGTTGTCGAGCTCGGGGTTCAGCTGGAGGATGACCATCTTCCAGTTGGAACTCTGCTGCGCGTACCACTGTGTCGACGTTCCCGGGGCGGGCGGAGACGGGGGCGTATACTTCAAGACAATTTCCGTCCATCTCTGGAAGACGTCGTCGGTGATGTGTAGCTTCCAGTCGACTGCGAGGAGGAATGCGATCTCGTTCTGGTTGATCTCTGCCGTGTTGAGTCCTGAAATCTTACTCCAGGCTCTCGCCGAGTAGTTCCGATCTTGGAGGTACTTTGACGCCAGGATGAGTGCAGCGAGGAACATGCGACGGCCGCACTGAAGGGCTCGGCATTCGTGCTTGTCGTCGGGCTGCTCCATCGTGAAGTCATGCTTGGGAACGTGAGGCTTGATCAAGATCAAATAGTACAGAGCGACCTGCAGGGTGGAGTAGCTGGTGCGCGAGCGTCGCAGGGTTTCCTGGATGAAGGTGCGCAGGGGCAAAACCGCCTTGCTACCCAACTCATTGCGGCAGACGACCGAAGACAAGGGCCAGATGGCCTCGACAATCTGCGTCGACGAATCTAGAAGGACTGGGTCAGGGCACATATCGATCATTGCTGCTGTTGTTGCTGCTTACCGACGAGGTTATCGACAAAGTTGAGCTTGCGGTCGGATTGGCGCACGAGAGTCGGGGGAGCTCCGGTGCGAGTCGAGCTGGCGCCGGTCCGCCTCGGGTTCTGGCGCAACTCGGCAGAGACAGCGACAGGCGCTTGCTGCACGGGTCGCTTGGCCCAGGGGCTCGTAAATCTAACAGCGGTGTCGCGGGCTTGGGGTCGCGACAAGCAGTAGGAGTCGGCGGAATCGGAGTCGGAGGTGTTGGTGGGAGAGGTCGAAGTGGATGATTGGGACGACAAGGCAGACCAGACAGAACCCGAGGAGGCGGAACCCAGAGATTCTAGCGAGGAACTGTACATGCCGTTTCCGTAGGTGCTGACGAAAGCCGACGAATCGCTTTCGACGTACTTCATCTTGGTATAAGTGCGGGGGTTTGTAGGCGTTGGAGATTCGAGCGAGGTAGGGGTGTACCTCCAGTCGCCGTCAAGCTAAGTCAACCGAGTAAACCGTAGATGGTTTGTATAATCAGATCGTGGTACCGTATCGAAAACGCGAACCTCACAACAGCATATAGCGGCTGTTGTCAAGTTCTTAAATGTTGTAGATATGGAAGGCGGCTTCTAGACGCAAGAGTCCACAGCCGACTTTACACGAACGATTTTACCGGAAGACGAGGCGAGACGGGCGACTGGAGTAGATTTCGTAGTTCGGATCAGAGGCATCGTTGTTTTAATGCTTCTAATATGAGAGGTGGTCTGGTTTGAGTGTGAGTTACTGCATAGCCACCGTTTGGTTTGAGTGACGAATGCGACGAGTCAAGTGGTGATGATGGTGTAAGTGAAGTGGGTGAGTAACGGTGATGTTGAGCGAGGTCGGAGTCGGAGGGTTAGGTGAGGAGGGGAGAGGAGGAGAGGAGAGAAGAAGTAAGGTAAGGGTGATGTGATGACATGCAGGTACGATAGGTGTGGCTGGAGGTCGAGGTTATATCGAAGCAGGTGGGATGAGGTGTGACTCTTTGGGTCGGGCATGCGATCTTGAACGTGTTCAGAGGGGCGACATGCTGGCGTGACGAAGTCGGAGGGTCCCTTGGTGGCCTTGGTGGCTCAAGTCTGTCTGGTCCAGGTGGTGGATGACTCTTTCGGGTCGCTCGAGTGGCGAAGGGGTGTACCTGGTTCGTTGCCGCCGAGACAGGTGGCCCCAACTGGCACACGACGTGGGCAGTGGGCAGGTGGTAGGCAGGACAGGCAGAAGGAGGGGAGAGAGTTTGGGGGTGGAAGGAGGCGAAGAAAGGGAGTGGCAGAGTGGCAGAGTGGCAGAGTGGCAGCCTAGGGAAGCCCGACCGACCAGGGTGCTTGTGTTGGGTATTGGAAGAAGATGACTGGTCCGGACAAGTGTGCGTGATCGGTGGGTGGCTTGGAGGAACTAGAAAGGGTAAGGGGGAAAAAAGAGGGACGGGTAGTCGCAGTAGCAGTAGCAGTAGCAGTAGCAGTAGCAGTAGCAGTAGCTGAGCATGAGCAAAGCTGCTGCTGCTGCTGCTGCTGCGATTCCGTAGCTTGGTGCTTGCAGGCCAAAGACTAACCTTTGAGAGGGCGGTGCAGCTCACTGCTGAGAGTCTTCTCTATCTCTCGGATGGAGTTGACTCTTGGCGAAACCGCAACGCAGTGTGGCGAAGGGAGGTTGTTGAAGTTTCTGGGTCAGCGGATGAGAGCCAGGCTGAAAGGATGAGTCGTAATCGTCGTGTGAGTGTCGTGTGTAATCGGACAGTGATTAAAAGAATGAGTATAAGGTAAAAGGACAAAAAGGTAGCGCAAGGCAGGGTATCGGGGAGTTCTTTTTTTTTTCGTCTTCCCAAGAAAATGAGTAACTGGATCAAGGCAGCAGAGCAGATGCCGGTTTCGTTGGGTGTCGATGGTGACTCGAGGCTGCAGTCCGATCCAGTCCAAAATAACCCAAGGCGAGGGAGTTGAAAGCCTGCTTGTGCCTGGCGTTGAGCTGAAAATGGAATATATCCGGGATGAGCCTTTTGGTGTTAGTCGCAAGGAACAAGTGAATGCCGCTGCGATTTACAAGGCCGGGGTGTGGTGATGGCGATTGTATCGAGTCCTGGTTTTGGTGGTGGTGATGGTGGTTTGGCTCGATGAGTAACGTGACCGAGGGTGGCCGAGATGACTCTTGTTGGCGAGTAACTGCGTGTGAGAGTAATCCGGGCAATTAGGACACGGGGATGGCGAGAGTAGAGTGAGTAGAGTGGTGAGAGGAGATTCGTGCGAAAAGCATAAAGCAGAGATACAAAGAAATAAGCGGAGATTGGTCTAGAGTCTCTCCTCAGATATCCTGAGAAGAGGCACGTCTAGCAGACTTCGGAGAGTCGCTGTCGTACTGGTTTAGACCTTGGAATCGAACATGGCGACGGCGATTGTTCGATAGAGCAAGAAAAGGGAAGGGGGGGAGGACACGAGTGCACGGCGATGTGGGCGCGGCGATAGTTTTGAATGCCTTGGTCGCCAGGAAGATGCGAGGTGCCTGTCCTGAGGTAAGGTGAAAACGTGAGCTAAGGCATGCAAGTATCTTTTGGAGCGTGTACTTTGGCCTGGGAGGCATTCTGCAGTGCCTCTGACACCGCTGACTGGCCCAGGGAAAGCCAGGACACCACGGGAAGGTGTGGGCGTGGCAGCCAGAGGTACCGGTCGCGACAAGTACCTCGCACTTCAGTGACCACCTTTCCGGGCTGCCTTGAGATTTTGGGGGTGGGAGGGGATGCAGCCGGACACCCAGCGAGTCTCATCCAGAGAGGCCGCTTGATTGGTGTCCCGGCCGTCGTAAAGTGGGTCTTTGCCGTCTTCCTTCCCGGGGAGGTGAGGATGAGTGTGAGGGGGGCATATCGAAAACCAAAAAAATAGGTACGTACCCCACTTCTTACTTCTCTCTTCCATTGCTCATTCACTTGCCTACGGATATCTCTCATTCATCAGTCTTGACCGTCTCTCTTGCCATCTGCTCTCTCATTGCTAATGGCATCTGATTACCGACTGCTTCCCTTAATTCGAGGCTTGTCTACAAAGGCTGCTGCTTGCTGCTCATAGCATTGTGGTAAATGCTTCTCTCCGACACACCTCTCACACTCACCATCACACTCTCACACACACTGGCAGCTGCATCCCTCGACCCCACTCCAGCCATGTCCTGTCCTGTCCTGTCCCCAAGTTTTCCGGCCTTTAAGTTTCTCCCCTCTCTTGTGGCTCACTCCAGTGTCGTCGCTTGCTCGTTCAGGCTTTCATCAGGTGCTGTAAGGTACTGCTGCTTCCTATTTCCACCCGAGGCATGCCCAAAGTATCCGTCTTCTCCAACCAAAAAAATCCCACCGCCTTCTGAGGCCTTCCATGCATTATCTGTCCTTTCTCTTGGGTCTGACTCTTTCGTTTCTGCATCTCTTTCCTCCAACATTCTGCATTCTGCCCAACCCTGACTTCCTTCCTCGTCTTTTGGCTCTGGCTTATTCCGTGACCACCGGCTGCGCTCGTCCCAGGCTGTTGCTTGATTGGATGTATTTAATGGGCCTATCCGGATCCGTACTAGCCCGCCAAGCCTAAAAAAGGCCGTCCAACCAGTCCTGTGCAGCACCACCACACCTTCTTTTGCCCTCGCCCAATCCTTTGAGATTTTTGGCAAACTGCTTGCTGTCCAGCCCCAGGCTTTCACCAAGGAAGAGAAAAAAAAGAAGAGTCATCTTTTTTGTGCCCCTCCGCCACCCCAGCACCAGTTGCTCCCACGGTTCGACGACGAAGCAATCCCCAGCCGTTATCGCCAGCTTCGCCGTCCCATCTATCCCGTCCAATCTCCAACTTCCGCCGGACTCCATACATAATACTGTCGGCTATCATCTATTATAGCAACAGCCGGGCATCGCCACAGTTTTCACAAACACGCAGGAAAAACAATCCGTCTTGGCAGCCCCTTTGGATGAAGCAAATGGTGTCGAAGATGGTCATATCAAAGCCAAGCCGGTGAGGGTATCACGAGCGCCGGCCGTCAGCATCCATCTCATTTCGTCCGGCGGACTGCACGCGCTGCCACGGGCCCGGGCATCGACAGACGAGGCAATATTGGCACAAGTCGACTGACAACAGCTGTTGTCTCGCCCAAAGTCTCGCCACAGCTGGTCAAGCTTCACCTCCAAATTTTTCACTTCGTCCCTCCCATGCCATCATGACACCCACCCTCGAGAGCTTAGGCCATCAAAACCAGCCAACCGCGACGTTCCCGATTACTCCTGCGGTATCTTAGCTGTCTCTGACTAAGGGTTCGGCGAGAAACCGCCTACCAGAGATGCCGATACACACGCACACACTCGCGCTGCACCATTAAAGCGTAGCGGCTGAGAATCTCGATGCCCTAGGCCACGTTTTTTGGCCATGTTATTTTTTGCCAACGCAACTCCACGGCTGTGTTGGTGAACCGCCGCCAGGCATCGCGCTTATTACCAGCCCGTCATCGCGTCCCCGGTGATATCACCTAATTTCGCAGTCGGGGTGTTGTTCGTGAACCGACGGCACTCTCTGCCGAGGTCGACTCCCGCCCCATCCAGCTTGACGGGTCCAGTCACGGTCACGCCTGGCCGGGTCACACTGGTGACTGGTCTCTCTGAACGGGTCCCGCGCTGCACTGCAGGGAAGGAAACCTCACGATGCCGCCTTGGACACCGGGCGGTGAGGTCATCGCAGTGTTCAGTGGCTCGGAGAACTTCATCATCGCTGCTCCAAGGCACGGAGGCTGCATCGTAACAGCCCTGGCAAGCCTCAAGTCCAAGCCAGGGCCAAAAACAATCCACTTCCAGCCGATGGCTCCCTCTCGTCTTCGGAGCACCAAGCACAAGCACCAGCACCAAGCCTCGCTTTCGCTGTCTCGCGCGGGCTGGGGCCTCTCGTCTCTCCGGCGAACGCGGCCTGCCGTCAGTGGGTAAATCAGCCCCCGAAACACCGAATGCGCCCCCTAAATTCCGCCACGGCTCCGCTTGAGACGCTGCTCCATTGCTGCATTTGGGACATTCATTTGATCGAGAATCGACAATCGAGAATTCAACAAGTCCGATCAGCCTGCTTACCGATAATTCAAGGCGATTACGCGCCTAGAGGCCACGGGAAAGTTCACGGCCGCAGTCTGCCGCCCAATCGTGGCGATTGCTCAGCCGATCCTACTCCTCCTCATCTTTGTCAGCCGCCAGTGTCGGTGTCCCATTCTCATCAGCATCGACACGCGCCTCTGATCATACCGCGCGTCAATCATGGACTTCTCGGGAGCCGTGGGAAATACGTCGGAAGAGTAACGGCCGCTTGAACTTGTCTCAATTTCACTTATCGCCTATCGCCTGCTCCACCAGCAACCTCCTTTGAATGTGACCGAAGCCCGCTGTCCA